CATATCAAATACTTCAAGGCCCAGTAACAATTTCACTTCACTGCTAAAACTGTAAATTACGCTTGCGCGCCGTCCCACTTGAGAGGCTTCACCACTTCCCAAGTAAAATCCGGGTCATCCCTCCCGAAATGCCCATAAGCCGCCGTCTTCAAAAACCTATTCCCCGAGCCCCTCTTGAGATCAAGATTGATCGATATCATACCAGGCCTGAAATCAAAGCTCTCCTTCACAATCTTCAAAATCTCCTTATCCGGAATCTTCCCAGTCCCATACGTGTCCACAAACACCGACAAAGGCTCAGGCACACCAATCGCATACGAGACCTGCACAATGCACCTCCTCGCAAGCCCATTTGCCACAATACTCTTGGCAGCCTGCCTCACAATATAAGCCCCACTCCTATCCACTTTAGTCGGGTCCTTTCCCGAAAATGCCCCTCCACCATGCGCACCCCACCCTCCATAAGTATCAATAATTATCTTTCGGCCCGTGAGCCCGGCATCTCCATGGGGCCCGCCAATCACAAACCGGCCAGATGGGTTCAAATGAAATATCGTTTTCTCGTCTAAGTACTTTTCAGGGATTACGGGTTTAATAACATGCTCTTTCAAATCAGCTGCAATTTCGTCGTTAGTAACCGTCTCGTCATGTTGGGTTGAAATGAGGACAGTGTGGACGCGAACGGGAACCATAGCCCCATTCTCGTTGAAATACTCGACTGTGACTTGGGTCTTACCGTCAGGCCTGAGCCAGGGGCAGGTCCCGTTCTTGCGAACCTCGGTTAGCCGGGCTCCGAGTTTTGTGGCGAGGACGTGGCTTAAAGGCATGAGCTCGGGAGTCTCGTCAGTGGCGTAGCCGAACATGTGGCCTTGGTCGCCTGCGCCGATGTCTTCGGGTTTCTTGGTGAGGTGGCCGTGGACACCTTGGGCAATGTCGGGGGACTGCTGCTCGATGTTGACGAGGACTTTGCAGTTGTCGGCGTCGAGGCCGACATCGTCTGAGATGAATCCGATAGAGCGGCAAGTGTCGCGGATGATTTTTTCGTAGTCGACAGAGGCTTTGGTGGTGATTTCGCCGAAGACCATGACCATATTAGTCTTGGTGCAGGTCTCGCAGGCGACTTTGCTCTCGGGGTCCTGGGCAAGGCAGGCGTCAAGGACCGCATCTGAGATCTGGTCGCAGAGCTTGTCCGGGTGGCCCTCGTTCACGGACTCGGATGTGAATAGGAAAGTTTCCATCTCTGTTTTTTTTTTTTTTTTAANTAAGAAACAGGATAACACGAAATCAAGGAGGTGTTCAATAGTTGAAGACAATAAATGAATTAGGTAAAGTGCAGAAAAATGATTGTATAGCCGGGAATTAATGCAAAACGACGATTTGTGATGCTATGGCTCAAACAAACGAGTGGATCTGGTTAATGAACATCAATGATTTTTATTTCTCAACAGTGTAACGGAGATCGAAAGATGCTCAACACAGTTCTAGCTTGATAATCAAATGAAAACACTGCTTAGAACAGTTTAATCCAAATCAAACTCAGATCTGAGCTGAGCAGAATCAAATCGACGACATCGAATGCCCAAGCTCATATCAACAAAATCACTTCCACAATCACCAAAATGGTTAAAAAAAGCAAAGCACAAACACAAAACGCATAAACAGATGAAACAGAAAGCGTACCAAAGGTTCAACTCGAGCTCAAGTCAAGCTACAGCGAGAGAGAGATGAGGGAGAGCTGAAAGGCGAGGTTGAAATGGGGCGAAAATGGTGGCAATATATAGGGGAAAGTAAACGTCCCCCTTGGATGGGTTGTGTGTGCAGGTTCATTGGGGAATCCACGGCTGTGAATGGTGCAAGAGGGAGAAACTGGACCGTGCGATAGCCGGTGCCAGGATGGGTAGGAAATCGTCGGTGAACGCGGTGTTACCGGCTGTAACCGGTAATCCCACCAACCCCAAGGATATTCTGATTTTTCTGGATAATTTCCTCTTGGGTGTTGCTAAATACCGCACCCCAATTGACACTTTTGCCCTTTTTATTACAAAATCAACAACTCACATATGAGGTATATTACAAAATCAACAACTCACAGGTGCGGTATATTACAAAATCAACTTCCACATACATAAAAACTTCAAAAAAAACTTCAAAAAAAACTTCAAAGACATCAAAAATTATCATAAATTCGAAAAAAACCGAAAAAAAGGGCAAAGAGTCTCCAACTCACAGGTAATTTTTTTT